ACAACTACAGTGGGCCTGCCAGCAGCGCAAACGCTTGCTAAACCATGAAGGTTCGGGCGAGGAGACGCATAATGATCAGGTGCCAATACAAGCAGTCCGCATCCAGATCCCTGACGCCGACAACGAGGAGGAGGACGCAGCAGGTGACACCAGCGGTGCTCCTCAGCCTCCTGGAGACACTCCTGCTGGTGATGAGCAAGGTGGCGGTGCGGAGTGCGAGGACATGCACGTGTGCACCACCAGCACGAACACGGCCGACGACTACGCCCACAGAGGCCCTCGCCTGCAGACCATGCCGTACTACGTCTACAGGATGTACGTCCGGCGAGTCCTGAAGCCGAGCCGGGTCAAAGCTTCTGGACCGCGATTCTTCGCCTTCGAGAGCCACTACGTCTTGGCTCCGCGGTACATGCAGGAGGTCCGGTTGACGCGGAGTTCCGTCCCCACCATCGATGGCTTCCAGTGCCCGACATGGGCACAGGACCCCGAGCAGAACTCGCTCTTCAAGGCCCTCCTCTTCACGCCTTGGGCGTGCGAGTGTCCCCTCTCTTGTGGCTGCGTTACTCAGTACAGCCATATGCTGAGGAACTGCGACTGCCCCGCCGTGCGCCCATACTCGTTCGAGCGGGCGCGGCGGCTTCGGTGCGCGGAGATCCACGTGTTGGCAGCGCGCGCAGACTCCAGGAGCCGCCTGGCCCGCAAGAGGCTCGTGCTCGCGGACACGACCCTCTTCTCCGAGCTGAAAGAGCCCCGGGCGAACCTCGAGGAGGGCGAGCTGGTGCTCCTCAGCCTAGCGCACTTCGCAAGGTCCCAGCTGGCGCGGCGCATGCCAGCGGAGGCGGCACGGCGCATCCTTGCCTTCAGTGACCACCATTGCCGGTGGCACGAGGAACAGTGCACCCTGGCGGAGTTCTGCGCGACCGTGGCGCGAGACGTGCTGGCGCACGTGGACCTCGCGGCGGAGGCGCGGGTTAAGCCTCGGCCAGCAACAACTGCACACCTCGAGGCGGATGAAGACTCCGCGAGCGATGCCGAAGGGGTCAAGGGGCGAGTCCCGCTGGAGCTCGTTGACGTGGGTGGAGGCGGCGGCAGCGACGTAGAGGAGGACGTGGAGGACGCCGAGATTACCGAGATCTCCCGGTTTCCGCTGCGGGACCACGTCAGAGCAACCGAGCTGGCCCTACAGCAAGACCAACTGCAGCGCTTGGACCAGAAGGGCCGCCTCAGCTACGCCGATAAGCAGTTGAAGAACCTCGACCGAGCGTACAGCGGCATGCTGCAGCCCAGCTTTGCACTGCCAGCCAGCAGCGGCGCGCGGGAACATCAGGGCACGCGGCTGGACGAGACCTTTTCTGACATGCTCGCCCTACAGCGGCAAAGCATTGCGCTCCAAAAGAAGCAAGCGAGCCCGGATGGAGAGATCTTGCCCGATGCTGCGGACGACTGGCTCCCCAGCGGTGCTCCTCAGCCTGCTGCCGAGGACGCCCAACCAGAACTCGTTCCGCAGCTCTTGGCCATGCAGGGCCCGGCGGCTGTTGCGTGGAAGCTCGTCACTGATGCCCACTGCACGGAGGAGCAGATTGACGCGGTGGCGTTGTTTGCGTTGTCTCTGCAGAAACGATTTGACGGCAGACCAGACAAGACAACGCATCTCCTCCCCGTGGCGTCCGCGACAGGCAACCACAGAGCGATCTGGCTCGGTGGAGGCGGTGTCGGCAAGACGCGCACCCTCTCCAAAGTGGTGGAGCCGATGGCCATCACTTACTTCGGCGAGCAGGGGTACCTCGGCAAAGCGCAGTCCAACCACGCCGCACACAACCTCGGCCCGCGCGGCAGGACCATGCATTCCTCCAATGGCCTGCTCATGTCGGATTCCATGCAGACAGCCAGGCTGCGCCTGACCCCACAGACGCAGAAAAAGCTGGATCGCCTCACAGGCACACTCGGCGTCGACGTGATCGATGAGCTGGGTGCTGTGCCGGGGCCTTTGCTGCATGCAGATGCACTGCGCACGACCTACGGCAGGGCGTTGCGCTACAACCTGGACCCCACGAAGTACATGCGCCCGCAGGAGACGTGGGGACGCATGCCTGTGAAGATCTTGTGCGGAGACTTCTACCAGTTGCCGCCAGTCCCCGCCACCGCTTCCCTGCTGGCGCCTCACGCGGGCCAATCCTACGAACACCAACAGGGTAGGAAGTTGCTCGCCGACATCGAGTACGTCATCGATTTCGTGCAGATGCAGCGCTTTACAGACCCGTTGCAACTCGAGGTTCTCCACGCCATGAGAACTCCAGGCGGAAAAAAGATCTCTGACGAGAGCTGGCAGGCGATCGTCAAAACAGAGGTCGTTAGCTCTAGCGGTGCTGCTCAGCCTGCTGCCAGCAGCAGCCAAGCCGCTCAGCCACCTCAGTGGGACCCTCGGTTGCGTGCAGCACGAGGCTGGTACGAGTCGGCCTATGAGTGGCGCATCGTCTCTTACGCCATGCATGCACAGGCCAAGCTTGATGCGCACGATGCTGGCCAGCTGCTCTTTTACGTCCCAGCAATCGACAGACCAGCTGCGCGCCTCGCGAAGCCTGATTACGACGAGATGCGCGCGGAGCCCAACATCGGCGCTACCGCAAAAATGCCGGGGCTGCTGCCGCTCTTCGTTGGCATGGAGGTCATCCTGACAGAATCCGTCTTGCCGCCGAAGTATGTCCGTGGCGCGCCAGGCAAAGTGGTAGGCATAGAGCTGCACGCTCTGGAGCCTCCGGTGGAGGGCCGCCCGTCCATTGTCTCGGACGGCGTGGTCGTACTCTACTACATGCCAAAGGCCGTCTATGTCAAGATCGATGACAGCGATGAACTTTTCTTGAAGGCCGCGCCGGTGACAGCTGGCAGTGCTTCTCAGCCTGCCGGCCCCGACCTGCGCGGAGTGCTCGCGATCACCCCGCAGGCGCGCCCCTGGAAGTTCAAAGCGAAGACAGGTGGCCCGGCCATCGCGGTGTCCAGGACGCAGTTGACCGTGCTGCCCAAAAAGCAGGGGACTCTGCATGGCGTCCAGGGCAAGACGACGGACCCAGGCTTCATCGTGCACTGGACGTTTCCGCCAGGACTCAAGAAGGAGTCCATTTGGCTTGCCTACTACGTCAGCCTGTCGCGCCCCAGAAGCTTCAACCAACTCTTGAGCCACGGCTTGCCTGACCGGAGCATCATCGAATCCGGCCCCCCGGAACAGATCGCCAAGGCCTTTGCCGAGCTCTTCACGGACAAGATTGCCGCGACGAAGATCGCTTGCGCGAAGGCCCGACAGCAACTGGGATGGCCTGCGCGAGCTTGAGGAGCCATGAGATGCAGGTTGCGTTGTGGCGGTGCTGTTCAGTCTGTCCGTCTGCATTCGCGTGGTGCTTCTCAGCCTGCATGCGCGTGGTGCTTCTCAGCCTGCGCTCGTGTGCAGCTGTGCGCGGTGAGCCTGCACGTGTCGCGGAATGTTTTTCAGCCTGCGCGTGTCTGCAATGCTTTTCAGCCTGCACGCTTTGCACGGGAAAAAATCAAACTGCGAGTGTTACCGCTGCTGCATGCCTCCAGCTATGCTACTACATATCGCTGTTAGGTTGCTTTGCCGGGATAATTCAGTTCGCGTTCCCTCTCTTGGGCCGTCTTGGGGCTCTCTTGGGCCGTCTTGGGGCCCTCTTCGGGGCCTCTTGGGCCGTCTTGAAACGGTTTGGGGCGCATCATGGGCGGTGCTGTGGCGCAGGAAACACGAAACAGCGAGAATGCAAAAAACAAAAAAAAAAATTAAACAAAAACCAATGACAATCAACAATTTTGCCCTCTCGGAGCGCTCTTGGGCGGCGTCTTAAAGGCCACTTGGGGCGTCTTGGGGGCCTCTGGGGCAGTTTAAAACGCATCGTGCGTCGCCAGAGACCCCTGGGCCGGCGTGTTGGGGGTGTCTCGAGACCGTCTGGGGTCGCCAGGATTGCTGTCTGAGGGCTCCCCGGGGCGATTTTAAGCCTCCCAGGGGCGGGCCCCAGCCCCGGTACCCACATTGGCGGTGGAATTTCCGGCCCTCGGCCCCGGAGCCCGGTGCGCATACATGTACGCATGCATTCATGCATACCCACATGCAGACATCAGACACCCAAGCGCATACGTAGTACCCCGCGGTTGCGGATCAGAGTGAGGGGCGAGCGTCGGCAGTCTGCGAGGCTCTGAAAATGGCCGCCGCATGCGCCTACTTTAAACAAATTGTACAGCGTGCTTGCCGCAGGCGCCGATTTTATAGTTAAAGCAATGTGGGTCGCGGGTGGGACGCGGGTGGGTCGCGGGTAGGTCGCGGGGTGGGACGCGGGTGGGTCGCGGGTGGGTCGCGGCAACAATCCGCACCGGATAACCTCACTTCAGCCACGCGCCCAGGGACAGTGAATGACCGCTCGCCCCTCCCACTCTGATGTATATACATGTATGTATGTATGTACGTATGTATATATGTATATATATATACATATAGATACGCGTGCGCCTCCATACATTCATGCATACAGACATACAAGCGAACTTGACTAGATGCGTGGGCACGTAAGTTATTCCATACATGCATGTAGGTCTGTCTACATGCACAAATCTACATATACATATGCGCATGCAAATACATAGACGTATACGTAAACGCATGTGTGCAAATGCACAACCACAGTCATGTACAACATTGATGTACCTACACATATCCATATATACACATGTCCATATATGAGTATGTATATATGCATATGCACAGACACGTGAGCACGTGCACCGACACCTACACCTATACCTATGTATATATATGGACATATGCATGTGCATATGCATATACATGTGAACGGTTAAATGTTGAAAATGATACACGCATGCAGGCATACATACAGCAAACATCGGCCGTGGCCGTCTTCGATCCTCATCCCCTTTTCATCCTTCTACATTTCGATGGAGAGGGCTCGTCGACATCTGGACGGGCACGGACAAAGCCCAGCTGCCCGATCATGTCGTACACGCGCCCCGGGGTCCCGACCACCAGGTGCTGCCCTTCCCTGAGCTTGTCGATGTCGTCCTGGAAAATAGAAAGGGTCCTCCTCCTTCTCCTCCTTCCCCTCCTGATCCTCTTCCTCCTCCTCCTCCTCCTCGTCCCCCTCTTCCAGCGCGTTCTCCTGTAGCCGAACTTGTGACCGCCGTCGGCCCTCCCTTGGCCTCCCGAAGCCCCCATCAACCTCCCAGGACGTTTGGCCCAAGATGACCCGCGGTTGGGGGCCGTACGGCCGTACGTGTCGCGCGAACCTCCGAACATCGATATATACACATATATATATATATATATATATATATACATGGCGTCCTTTCCCTTTGGACGAGGAAGAAAAAGGGGATGAGAAGGGCGAGGGGCAGGCTCAGGGCGCAGAGCTCTCTGCCTTGCTGCTCACGGGAGGGCGGCGGAGGCTTGAGCGGCTCTGGCGAATGGGTGTGCCTCCAGCTGCCCGCTCGGAGGCGAACGTGCTGGTGCAGGACAAAAACGAAAACGAACTCAACTCGGGAGCATCTGTGCAGGAGGCCGCCGTCCAGAGGGCGCATAGGGAACTCGGGGTGGAGCCCGGGGGGCAACTGCGGGAAAAGGCTCGTCTTTTCCTTCGTTTCCACCACGGTCCTTGCTTCCCCTTCTCGGGGTCTGCCTTCGGTTGGAGCGCCGTGTTGCTTCGCCGCCTTCCCGTGATCCTCGGAATGTTCATATGGCAAGCTTTCCCCCGAAAAAAACATTTGTTCTTCCCACTTGTCTCGAGCTAACTTTTCATGATCCGTTACCTCGCGGTGCTCCAGTCCGCTGCAAATTCGTTTTGTCGAACTTTCCACGAGATGCCCCCGCCAGTCAGGGCAGACGCAGCCGCGCAGGGAGAACCCCCGGGACCCGTGGGACCCTTAGGTCCCTTATCACCACCTGCTCTTGGCCCAAGGCCATCCTTCGCAACAGACGACCAGCCGCGCCTAAACAGGCTACCTTTCCCAGCCTCAATTTCCGCATGCAAATGCTCGGCATAGGGTTTGTTTCTTCCATCGTCGCACCCATCTGGGAAGACAGAACGCCGAGACCGGCACCTAGCAAGTTACTTGCTTCATAAAAATTGGAATTGCGATTTGGGCCACCGCGAACCCGTTCAGGCCTTCGGAATCGCGGGGGGGGGATTGGGGAGGGGGGAAGGAGAACATCGCGCAACCCGCAGGAGGGAGGGCAGGAAACAAAAAGTGCAGACGAGAGGCGAAGTTGGAGGGCGTTTTCGAGAGAGGGCCACCAGGGGGAAGAATGTGACTTCCTCCATGACCCAAGCGTCCCAATCCACCGCCGCCGTCCTCCGCGCCTCCCCCCGCCCGTTTGGCCCCCCTCCGTCTCTTCCGCCACCCCCCACCCGCCCCCTGCCCGCCCCTAGTCGCATCTCTCCACTCTGCAAGCCTGAGGTTGGCACCCGACGATTCCGATTCCACCGCCTACCCCCCGAGCTGGGGGGTGGCCGTGGCTGCCCTGCGCGGCCAGGGCCCGAGAACGTGGCGCCCTCTTTAACCGCGGCCCACAGGCCCTGGCCAACTTCCGAAATCGTCGAGGGGCTCCGCTCCACTCGCCGTTCCAACGGGGGCTTTGGTGTTGGTGTCGGATTTCCAATGTTGCCGGGGACGAAAGGCCAGCGTCGGCCCTAATACCCCGCCGGAAAAGTTGGGGGCCCTTTCCCCGCGGGGGCAGAGCGGCCCAGCGGAGCCCGTAAAACGCGTGGTCTCTCGCATTGCTCGCCGAATTCACAAGCCACGGGGGTCGCGTGGTGTATCAATACCGATTATATATATATATACACACACATATATATATATATATAGAGAGAGAGGCCGTCTTGGGGGTTCTGTGAGCTCCTCGGGGCAACCCTTTTGGGCCGCCTCGTGCTCTCTTGGGTCTCTCTTGGGCTGTGTTGGAGCTCCGCGGGGGCGTCTGGGGCACTGTGAAGACGAAGCAAGCGAGTATGCTGAAAATGTACCTTGTACTACGGGAACGGGCTGATTTTTGCCTCTTGAAGGCCCTCTTGGGGCCCTCTTCGGCCATCTTGAAGCCATCTCGGGCCCTCTGGGGCCTCGCTGAGGCTGTCTTATGGGCCTCTTGGGCGTCCTGGGAGCCTAGAAATCATGTTCCCGGAAATGCTTCGGGGAACATGATGTCGAACGAGGCCCGCTTGGGCCTTCCTGAGGCCGTCTTGGGGGCCTCCTGGGTCGGCTTCGGGGCCGTCTGAGGGGGTTCTGTGAGCCCCACGGGACGACCCTTTTGGGCCGTCTCGTGCTCTCTTGGGTCTCTCTTGGGCTGTGTTGGGGCTCCGCGGGGGCGTCTGGGGCACTGCGAAGACGAAGCAAGCGAGTATGCTGAAAATGTACGTTTTACGAAGGGGAATGGGCCGATGTTGCCTCTTAAAGGCTCTCCTGGGGCCCTCGTCGGCCGTCTTCAAGCCATCTCGGGCCCTCTTGAGGCCTTCTTGGGCCTCGCTGAAGCTGTCATGTGGGCCTCTTGGGCGTCCTTGGAACCCGGAAGTCATGTTCCCGGAGAGACTTCCGGGAACACGATTTCGAACAAGGGACTCCCTGAGGCCGTCTTGGGGGCCTCCTGGGCCGGCTTCGGGGCCTCTTGGGCCGTCTTGGTGGGTTCCGTGAGTCTCCTGGGCTGTGTTGGGGCTCTGCGGGGGCGTCTGGGGCACTGTGAAGACGAAGCCAGCGAGTATGCCGGAAGCGCACGTTTTACCATGGAAATGGGCCGATTGTTGCGTCTTTCAGGCCCTATTGGGGCCCTCTTCGGCCATCTTCAAGCCATCTGCCTTCTGGGGCCTCGCTGAGGCTGTCCTGGAGCTCAGTAGGGGGCCCTGGGAGCCTGGAAGTAGTATTCCTGGAGAGGCTTCCGGGAACATGATTTCGAACGGGGCCCTCTTGGGCCTCCCTGAGGCCGTCTGGGGGGCTCCTGGGCCGGCTTCGGAGCCTCCTGGGCCGTCTTGGAGGGTTCCGTGAGCCCCACAGCCGACCCTTTTGGGCCCTCTGGGGCCCTCTTGGGTCTCTCTTGGGCTGTGTTGGGGCTCCGCGGGGGCGTCTGGCGCACTGCGAAGACGAAGCCAGCGAGCATGCCGAAAATGCACGTTTTACGACGGAAATGGGCTGATGTTTGCCTCTTGAAGCCCCTGTTGGGGCCTCACGGGCCCTCTTGGGGCGCTCTTGGGCGTCTTCGGGGCCTCTTCAGGCTTTCGTGACCATGTGTACGGCCCGCGTGGCCTGTCGTGGGCAATTTGGAAGCGGCCCAGGACAGTCCCGGGGGGTCTCCCTGGGGGCCGCCATGGGGGATGACGGCACCGATTTCCCCCCCCCCACCCCCGGCCTACCCATCTATATATACAAGTGGCACGTGTGTGCCCAGGCTCATACAAAAAGCTGAAGGGGCGTTTGAAGCAGGAGTGAAATGCAACATCGAAGTCGCACTCAAGCGCAAGTGGGGTTGCCACACCTTGCGATGTGTGTACCAGGGCCCCCCAGGCCCGACTTGGATACCAGAAGAGGCTCCAGGAGGCCCCAGGATTGTGAGTGTTGTGCGTGTGTGTGTGTGTGTGTGTGTGTGTGTGTGTGTGTGTGTGTGTGTGTGTGTGTGTGTGTGTGTGTGTGTGTGTGTGTGTGTGTGTGTGTGTGTGTGTGTGTGTGTGTGTGCGTGTGCGTGTGCGTGTGTGTGTGTGTGTGTGTGTGATGTATGCTTTGTGTGGTGCGTGCTTTTTGTGTGTTGTAGGTGTGTGTGTGTGTGTGTTATGTTTGTCTAGCGTGTGATGTGTTGGGCGTGATTTGTGTCTCTGTGTGCATGTAGTTCTGAAGCCCCAGGAGGCCCCAGGAGGCCCCAGGCGGCCTCAGGAGGCCCCAGGAGACCCCAGGAGGCTTCAGGAGGCCCCAAGAGGCTCCAGGAGGCCGCAGGAGGCCCCAGGAGGCCCCAGAAGGTTTCAGGACACCCCCAGGAGGCTCCGAGGCGGGGTCTGGGGTGCCAGAAGGTTCAGAAAGCCCCAGGAGGCCCCAGGAGGTTCCAGGAGGCCCCCAGGAGACTCCGAGGCGGGATCTGGGGCTCGATTTTGGAATGATTTTTCAAGCGAAACCGCCATTCCCTGAGAATCGGGGTCACAATGATTGAAATTACCATGTGTTTTTGAAGGTTGTATGTTAACATGTTGAAATTCCCCATGTGTTTTTGGACCCTGACGTCACGATCTGCGTGAGGGGTGCCACCGATTCTCAGAATTTCGAGGATGTCCCGAGCGAAACGCCCAGAAAAATCGCGGACGCGTGCGCATTAATCGCCTCTGAGCTCTACTCCCTCGGAGAGGTGCGTATGTATATATATATATATATACACACACACTAGAACCATCGCGCGCGCTTCGCGCGCGCTCAGGTTCTAGCCCAGGCCGGGGGCGCGCTAGAAGATCTCGGACAGCGCTATCAAGCTCAGGCGCGTGACATAGTCGTGCCTCCTGAGGGCCTCTCAGGAACCTCTTGGGTCTTCGTGGGGGCATCTGAAGGGCTTCTGGGGGGTTCTCCGTGCTTCCTCAATTCGCTGTCGGAAACACCTCTTGGGTGCTTCTCGGGGGGGCATCTTGGGGCTTCTTGGGGTCCCTTGGGGGCATCGTCAGGGTTCTCCGGGCAGTCGGAAAGAGATGTTGTGCAGTCTCTGAAGCAAGCAATTGGCCGACTTGGCTGCGTGGAGGCCCGGCTTTAGGCCACATTGGGGCAATCCGGAAGCCTCCCGGGGCCTCCTTGAAGCAATTCTGATGCATCGAGAACACTGTTCGGCTATCTTGGGGCCTTTTGGGGCCTGGTGGTGGGCTTTGGGGGGCCTCGTCGGACCACTTGGGGACTGTTGGGGCCTCCTGTGGGCCTCTTAGGGCGGAAAGCTCTGCTGTTGGGTTCGCGTTCCCCTTCTTGGGGCTCTCTTGGGGCCCTCTTGGGGCCCTGTCGGGCCGTCTCGGGCGCCTCGGGCACCGTCTTGGGGCCCTAGTGGGCCGTCTTGGGGCCCTC